TAGTCCAGACATTACGGTACACGTTTCTTTATTACGGTGTTTGTGTTGTTTTTGTATGAAAGCGTTTCTTCTCTCACCGCTGTGGTCGATGTCGTCCGTGTCGCTGTCGTCTTCCTCCTCCTCGCCGTCGTCAGGGTTACCACGTGTCATGATGAGGTCACTGGGCCCGGCGATGTCAGCTTCCTCTGTGGACAGGAAGTCAATCGGCCAGTTACAACAATAAAAGCCTGAATGACGCGTGTTATTTCTGGCGGGCGGTCAGTGGGTTTACCGGCGGGCGGCGTCGGCGTCATGTCGACAGCTCCCAGGTCCTTCCTCAGGCGCTCCAGCTGCTGCTGCTGCTTCCTGCTCTGAGCCTCCGTCTGCAGGACGCGAAAGCAACATGGAGACACGTGAGGACGCACAGAGGAAGAAGAAACACGAGAAAGAGAAGAAGGAAGAGAGACTCACCAGCTGTCTGCGGAGTCTCTCATACTCTGGTCTGTATTCTCTGAGGACGCAGAATTCAGTGATCAGCAGTTTATCAAGAGCTTTAATCTGAGCTCAGCACAAACTTAAAGAGCAACAAAGTCCGAGCGGAGAAGAAGAAAGAACTTTTAAAACACGACTGTATGAATGTCATTACATTAAATGGCAAAGTGGACAAACGAGGTGCGTTTCTGAGGAGCTCGTGTTCTGTTCTGGTTCATCAGGAAGTCATTGAGCAGCTTTTTGTTCCTGTTAAACGTCTACAAACTTAAAAACTCAAAGTCATCATCAAACATTCTGGTGGATTAATGGTAGCAGCTGGACTGATTGAGTCCCTTGAAGACGTTCCACCTTCATCCAGGAGGCTTCTTCAGCTCTGACTGACTGGTTGGGAGTTCCACATCCTGATATCCTGAAGGAGACGTTAACACCTGAGTTTGGGTTTTAATTGGGGGTTTGTTGCTCCTCCCCCTCGTTATGTGACTCGTTAGTGCTCCTCCTGACACAGAGGGGTTCGTTAGGGTCTCTGTGTCTAGGTGTGGATGTGGTTCCATCTTCCTGAGGAGAGATCTTCGGACTGAACTGTAACAGGTGAGAGGTGATGCCTGCCAACAAACCTCCAGCTGGAACCCAAACTCAGGTGTTAACGTCTCCTTCAGGATATCAGTATGTGGAACTCCCAACCAGTCAGTCAGATCTGATGAAGCCTCCTGGATGAAGGTGGAACGTCTTCAAGGAACTCAAGCAGGTCCAGCTGCTACCATTAATCCACCAGAAGAACCAGGACCTGGAGGACTGGGAACCTTCACAGACTTCTCATCTAACAGACTCCTGAAGTGGACCAGTGGGTGGAGCCTCCTGTTTCCTTCACTCACCTGTCGTACTCCTCGGCAGCGTCCTCCACCTGAGCGAACAGCTGGTCCAGTCCACTTCCGGTCACCGCGGACACGCCCACCACCTGCAGACAGACAGAACGTCTGGACCAGTCAGCAGCAGCGAGAGCAACATGTGATCATCGTTTTAAGGGTTTACAGTTTACAGCTTTACAGAACCGGTCTGTGTCGGTCCTCGTACCCTCAGGTTGGTGTAGAACTCGTCCAGGACCAGGCTCATGGATCGGGTCAGGTTGCTCACATACGAGGTTTCCTGGTTCAGAGCGTCCTGGAAAACCTCAAAGTCCTGCATCCACTCGACGGCGAAGCTGTGATCGATTATATCGGTCTGAAAAAGCAGCAACAACAACAGGTGAAACAACAACAACAGGTGGAAGAACAACAACAACAACANAAAATACCTCAAAGTGGGTCCGAAATTTTAAGAAGTTTCCAAAATTACTCAAAAATTCATCAAAACGACCCAAAATTGATCAAAATTATTTTTAAAAAATTGACTAAAATGCCACAAAACGTTTCAAGAATGACACAAACTTCACTCAGTTTGTCCAGAACGACAAACAAACAAACAAAAACCAGTCGTAAATGAGTTAATAACGAAACAAGATGAATTAAAAATGATCCAGTTGATTTCATAAGCAGCTGGTAGCAGCAGTATTATGGGATGGATCACCGTGGTAACAGTCTCATGTCTATGACACAGAGTCATAGAAACAATCACTGGTACCCTGGATGTGGTTCTGGTTCTGATCAGTCACCAGAAGAAACTTTACAAAGTGCATTCTGGGTAAACTTTCCAGGCTCATATCAGCATGTGTGGTGGTAGTGGGTCAGAACCAGTTCTAGACGATGGAAGGTCTCCTGAACGTCTTCTGTGACGTATTTTCATCTCAAAACTGCAAATTCCCCCAAAAGACGTCGAGTTTACGTGTCTGGAAGCAGAATCAACGTGTTTCTGACTGGACGCTGAAATGAAGACCAGCTGCTGTAGACCTGTACCGGATCATCTGGTTCTACCAGCAGCTTCTAGAAGAGACCACAAAAGTCTGGTATTCAACACATGCACCTGACGATGTGTAAAAATATGGTAACACACGACTGAGCTGAGTTTGTGAACCAGCAGATGATCCAAACTGAACTATCGACGCCTCAAAGAGGACATGAAGGAGGCTACAGCACAGAGACGGGCCTGGAGACCAGAACACTGAACGGATCCACCAAGAAGCACAAAGACGGAGCATGGCAGCTCCATGACGGTGGGAGTGACGTCAGACTGGACCTCCTTCCTCATGAAGCCACTCAGGACAGAACGGTTTTCCTCCTTCAGGCTAATTCAACACACTGAGACAACAAGCTCTGGAGCGGTTCTGTTAGCGTCCACCTGAGAACATCCAGATCCAGTCAGAGCTAAACGCCTCCAGATGTGAACTCTACAACTAACAAAGACGAATGGACACGGAGGAAACATCTGGACTTTTATTCTGCACATTATAAATCCTTTCAGTGCTTCGAAAACAAAAGTCTACATGAAATATAAAAATATAGATTTGTCTTTGAGGGGAAGAGCAGCCAATCAGCTCCTCGGAGTGAGTGAGGTCACGGGTCACCTGATCAGACAGGAAGTCCAGGTTTACTTTCCTCCCATCGCACCTGAACATCAGCGACAGAAGGACCTGCTGCTCCAGGTAATAGTCTGTACCCACGCAGGGAACCGCTCACCTGCAGGCACTGCTGTCCTGCTGGGGGTCAGGGGTCAGGGGGCATCGCACACTTCCTGTTCCGGACCTGAACCACTTCCTTCCTCTCCTTCAGGAAGTTTCCAAAGGCGTCGCTCTCTTTGCTCTCCTCCGTGACTGAAAATCACACGTTGACGTTTTAGTTTCCACAAAGTGACGACATTTTTACTCACGTTAACCAAAACGTCGCTGCAAATTACCGTAATGTCTGGACTAGAAGCTCCTACTTCATTCACACACTTTGAACGCTGCGGCTTAAACAACGATGAGACTAATTTATGGATTTTCACGAATTCACCTCGAGACCAAAGTGAGGCTGAGAGCGACGACGACAGAGAGACTGAGGAAGTGATGAAGTGATTCTGAGGCTGTTCAGCTCCTGAAGACACTGAAGAAGACGACTTTAGTGGTTTTAGTGCAGGAGGAAGATGAAGATAACCATCAGTGACTTTTCCTGGTAGCTGCTGGAGTTTTATTTCCTTAACCAGCCGTGTTACAGGAAGNTAATCAGCTGTCAGAGTGTCTATCAGTAGAACTTTCCCTGAGCTGAGCATCTCTTGCTGCCTGTGGTCCTCCATGTTCTCTGAGTTCTCCAGAGTTTGTGTTTTGTAAATGCTGAGTGGGTCCAGAGACTGTGGAGGATGTTTGGGTCCGTTCTCCCGGCCCGGTTTGGATCCTCACAGGAGATTATTGTGTAAAGCTCCCAGATATCAGAGCCTCCACGCAGCCTGTCAGGGAGCGAAGCCGTTTCCTCGCGCTCTGCTTTCTTGTCCTTCACAAAGCGGAGATGAGTCAGCCTCGGCCCGACCACGCTGCTGCCGGTTCCAGCGATGTGGAGGCGTCAGAACCGAGCGGCGTGTTGGCAGATGGTCGGCAGGCGGAATCCATTCAGAGAGAAAAGACATGAATGAAGCCGAGCCGCCGTTAGAGACAATGGGCTGCTGACAGATCGGTACCCAGCGATCACAACAGAACCCACAGCTGGTTCTGAAGTGGCCGAGTTTACAGTCGCTGTGCAGATTAACAGCAGCTCAACAGTAAAGATCCCACATGGTTGTAGGTGGACGAAATATCAGCCACTCTTCACCAGAACACCTCCACCCACCGTGACCCGCAGAGACGGCAACGGGTCAGACCACGGAGAACCAGTCAGTCCTCCAGAACC